AAGGCTGAGGTGGAAGGATTGCCTGAGCCCAGCAGGTCGAGGCTGCAGTGGCCATGAGCGTGCCACTGCACTCCAACCTGAGTGACAGAGTGACACTCCAACTCAAAAAAAAGAAAATCTACAATAAATAAAAAAATTATCTGGGTTTGGTGGTGTGTGCCTGTAGTTTAGCTACTTGGAAGGCTGAGGCAGAAGGATTGCCTGAGCCCAGCAGGTTGAGGCTGCAGTGAATGTGAGTGTGCCACGGCACTCCAGCCTGGGTGACAGTGAGACTCTGACTCAAAAAAAAAGTTTTCTTTTGAGGACTTTTTTCATTGGCGAAACAGAAAAAAATTCCTTGGAGTGAGATCAGAATGAATAGGGAGAGTAGAGTATGGGGGTCATACTGTTTTTAGTCAAAAACTACTGAATACTCAGTGCAGTGTGGGCAGTTGCTCTTGTAAATCACCCATCATGAAATGGACAAACGTACTGAAAGAATCTCCAAAAAAAATTCATTGAAGCCGAACTCAGTCTTCTCATAACACTAGCTGGTACACTGATGCCATTGGGTTCCTAGAATACTTACCTAGTGGAGGAGGCCTGTACTACAAGAGGCACATCCTCCAAAAGATAATTCCAGCTTTTTTGGGGGTCCCCCCCTATGTATTATTCTATTTTATCTCAAACTGTTGATGGACAAAACAATTGTTTACTTAAACTATCTAATTCTCCAACTTTGAGATAACTGAGGAATTATGAGCAATTGCATTTGAGAATTTCTTTAGGTCCTTAGAAATGGTGGTTGGCCATGGTCCAAGTCTGTGTTGTAAAAGATACCTTATCAGGGAAGATTAATTAAATGCCCTGTAGGAGTATTTGCCTTCTTAAATTCTGGTCATAAGTAGTACATGTAAAGTAGAATAATACATATACAAAGATTGATCACGTATTGAGTTCCGACTGTGTGCCTAACACTACTCCAAATGTATCAGTAAACATATTCTAATTCTGATAAAAACTGTGAGGGCATGGGTACTAGCCTCATTTTACAGATGAGGTAACTTGAGATCTAAGCTGGAAGATGATAGATCTGTGATTTGAACCTTGGGGCCTGACTCCAGAGCTCTTACTCTTTCAGCCTTGCCACATGGCTCAGAATAGATAATGCAATCAACTAAAATATATAAAGAAAATTTGTACAGGTTGCCAAGATCAGTACAAGTGACTATACAGACAATGAGTAGGTACCAGGGTCCTGTGAGGGCTCTTTCTTTGTTATATAAGCTTTGGGGATGGGAAGTGAGTTCCATGAATTCTGTTTCATTTGTAGACACCAAAATGACACTATAGACGTGTGAGGGTCAAAGTGTCACCCCTGCTGGGGAGCAGGACTTGAAAGTGATATTAAGAGTTAACTAAATGAGGACATGATGAGAAGGCCAGAAATGTTGCTTCTCTGTGCTGGTCTCAAAAAATCCAAAAGAGATTATACATATTTTATTATTAGATCAGGAATTCTTCTTCTTTTTTTTTCTTTTGAGTTAGAGTCTTACTCTGTCACCCACACTGGAGTGCAGTGGCATGGTCACGGTCACCCCAGCGTCGACCTGCTGGGTTCTGGCAATCCTTGCGCCTCAGCCTTCCAAGTAGCTGGAACTTCAGGCGTGTGCTACCGCGCTTGGCTAATTTTTGATTTATTGTAAAGATGAGGTCTCACCAAGTTGCCTGGACTGGTCTCGAACCCGTGGGCTCTGGCAATCTACTTGCCTCAGTCTCCCAAAGGGCTGGGATTATAGGCCAAGCCACCGAGCCTGGACAGGAATTCTTAACTAATAAAGACATTAGGTCTTGGTAGTAATTTTGTTTAATTTTTTGAGTCAGGATCTCACTCTGTTGCCTGGACTGTAATGCAGTGGCACGATCTTGGCTCGCTGTAGCCTTGACCTCCTGGGCTTGGGTTATCCTTCCGCCTCAGCCTCCCAAGTAGCTGGGTCTACAGGCATGTGCCACCAGGCCTGGCTAAGTTTTTGTAGATGAGGCCTCACTGTGTTGCCTAGGCTGCATATAGTATTCCTAATGCTTTTGGTGTTAGCTGGGAAAGTTGATTTTGCTTATCTTTTGGTTTCAGACAGAGGATCCCAGTAAGTACAGTCCTCGGTTTTGGGAGGAGCTCTTTCTCATGAAGGTAAGACTCGGTGGCATCTTTGGAATTTCCTGGTAAACAAGATTGCGTCTTCATATGTTCTAGATGCTACATAAAAACGCACTCAGCCCCTTATTGTTTCCCTGGCAGGTGAATTTGGAGTACCTGGAAGGCAAGTTGGAATCTCTTGATGGTGAGGAGTTAATGAAGATCAAGGACAATGTTAATTGCTTATTCCAACACTGCATCCAGGCTCTGGGAGAGGAGCATCCAATTCGAGTTGTCAATGCGTTGCAGGTACAAGGCTGGGAGACTGGGAAAGTCTTAAATTTAACAGTTGAAAGGAACTGTAACACATCTGTCAGAACCTAGTTGCCCTTAGGTGTAAGATTTTCTTTTTTTTTGAGTTGGAGTCTCACCCTGTCGCCCAGGCTGGAGGGCAGTGGCACACTCACCTGCTGGGCTCTGGCGATCCTTTCTGCCTCAGCCTTCCAGGTAGCCGGAACTACAGGCATTTGCTACCACACCTGGCTAATTTTTGATTTATTGTAGAGACAAGGTCCCGCCAAGTTGCCTGGGCTGGTCTTGAACCTGTGGGCTCAGGCAGTCTACTCGCCTTGGCCTCCCAAAGTGCTGGAATTATAGGCTGAATCACCGAGCCCGGACTTTGTTAAATTTCTTTAAGTAATCAAACATTTATGCCATGTTTGTTTAACCACCTTCCTGTTTATACAGATGGGTGCTTATAGGAGTCATCTTGTCCATTTGTATAATATAATCTAATATCAATGTAGAATTTTTTTTTTTGTTTTTTGTTTTTTTTTGAGTTGGAGTCTCACTCTGTCACCCAGACTGGAGTGCAGTGGCCACTCCCGGCCACCATAGCCTCGACCTGCTGGACTCTGGCGATCCTTCTGCCTCAGCCTTCCAAGTGGCTGGAACTACAGGCAGGCACTACCATGCCTGGCTCATTTTGATTTATTGTAGAGATGAGGTCTTGCCAAGTTGCCCAGGCGGGTCACGAAAGAATTTTTTTTTCTTGAGTTGGAGTCTTACTCTGTTGCCTACGCTGGAGTGAGTGGCACACTCCTGGCTACCGCAACCTCGACCTGCTAGGCTTAGGCAATTCTTCTGCCTCAACCTTCCAAGTAGCCGGAACTACAGGTGCGTGCTACTGTGCCCAGCTAATTTTTTGGTTTATTGTAGAGGTAAGGTCTCACCATATTGCCCAAACTGGTCTTGAACTCAGGGGCTCAGGCAATCCATCCGCCTTGGCCTCCCAAAGTGCTGGGATTACAGGCTGAGCCACCGAGCCCAACTGGCCATTATAAGCTTCTTGAGGGCGGAGACTTTGATAGTTTCCTTCAGTACTTCATTCCTAGTGTGTAGAATGTTCTTTGTGCATGGAGAACAGTGCCTAGCAGATAGTTGGTACTCTAGAAGCAAATTATTGATTTTTTGAGTTGGGATCTTACTCTCTTAAACTGTAACATAAATGCTAAAATTAATTTTAAGCTAATTGCGGTGGCTCATGCCTCTAATCTCAGCTCTTTGGGAGGCTGAGGTGGAGGGATTGCTTGAGTCCAGAAATTTGAGACCAGTCTGGGCAACAAAGCAAGACTTCATCTCTACAAAAAAATAGAGACATTAGCTGCTGTGGTGGCATGTGCCTGTAGCCTCAGCTACTCAGGAAACTGAGACAGATCGTTTGAGCCCAGGAGTTCGAGGTTGCAGTGACCCGTGATTTTACCTCTGCATTTCAGCCTGGGTGACAGAGTGAGACCCTGTCTCAAAAAAAAAAAAGTTTTATTTTAAATAAAGGGAAGTTCCACCAATTCCATGATTCAAACTCAAGAACTTTTTTTTTTTCTTCTTTGAGTTGGGGTCTTGCTGTCACCCAGGTTGGAGTGCATTGGCATGCTCATGGCCACCACAGCCTCGATCTGCTGGTCTTAGGTGATCCTTCTGCCTCAGCCTTCCAAGTAGCTGCAACTACTTGGCCAATTTTTTTATTTATTGTAGAGATGAGATCTCACCAGTTTGCCCAACCTGGTCTTGACCCCTGGACCCAGGCAATCCTCTCATCTCGGTCTCACAAAGTGCTGGGATTATAGGCGTGAGCCACAGTGCCTGGCTTCAAGAACTATTTTTAATTTTTTAATCTCACTGTCCTGTCATTACAGTGTAATTTTCAAAAAGAGGCTGGCAAAAATAAAAAAATGAGAATGACTACAGTCTCGATTGTTATTTCTTTTTTTTGGATTTTGCACATATTAAGATTCAGACTATATTTTGGAACTCAGAGAAATTGGGTGTCAGCTTTGTAAGGAACAGGTTGCAATGTGAGACTTCAGACCCAGTGCCCATCTAGTTCTGAAACTTCCTCTCTAGACAGAATTCTTTCTCTCATTCTGTAGACCCTGTGTGCACTCATTCGAGGAGTCCACCAAAAGAATAAACCGACCTCTGGGTTTGACATCATCAACATGCTGATGGGCTTTGACAAGGCCGAGCTGTGCATGAAGGTGAGGCATGAGCTGCAGCTCTGCTTTCAGATGGCCACTGCTGATGGCTGTTTGTAGACACCATCAGCACATAGGGGTACTCAGTTTTGGACTCAGGTAGATATAGATGATTGGATTTTTAATTTTTTAATTTTTATTTTTTTTTGAGTTGGAGTCTCACTCTGTCACCTGGACTGGAGTGCAGTGGCCGCTCCTGGCCACCGCAGCCTCGATCTGCTGGGCTCCGGCGATCCTTCCGCCTCAGCCTTCCAAGTAACTGGAACTACAGGCGTGCGCTCCCACGCCCGGCTAATTTTTTGATTTATTGTAGAGATGCCCAGGTGGGTTTCGAACCCGCGGGCTCAGGTAATCCTCTCACCTCAGCCTCCCAAAGTGCTGGGATTACAGGCTGAGCCACCGAGCCCGGCCGAATTTTTTTTTTTAAAGCAGGATTTATTAAGAGGACAGAAAAGCTCCCACAGTGGGAGGGGACCCGAAGGGGTTGCCGAGATGATTGAATCTTGCCTTGAATTTGGACATTTTTATTTAACAGATTTGGGTATCTGAATAAAGGAAAAAATTAAATTCAAATTTGAATTGACGCATTTTATTTTATTATTTGTGTCATATGATTATACATTATTAAGAACATTGATGAATTTGAATAAAACATTACAAGTCAATATACAAGGGTAACTTTAATTCTAAACTTCAAACTTTCTTGTTTAACAATGGTTTTAATTTTATCAGAGTTTTTATTTCTTTTTTTTTGAGTTGAAGTAAAAAAAAAAAAAAAAAAAAATCACTCCTGGCAATTTTTAAAAATTTTGTGTAGAGATTGGGGTCTTGCCCAGACTGGTCTCGATTCTGGGACTCAAGGGATCCTCCAGCCTTGGCCTCCCAAAGGGCAGGGATTACAGGTGTGAGCCACAGCACCTGGGCCAAAGAAATATTTGGCAGTAAAAATTAATGAAATGCTGATATATCCTATAACATGGATGACCCTCAAAAACATTATGCCAAGTAAATGCCAGAAACAAAAAGCCACATATGCTATGGTTCCACTTATATGAGATGTCCAGAATAGCTAAATTCATAGAGCCATGAAGCAGATTAATGAATGCCACGGGCTGGGGAGATTAGGGAATGGGGAAGGATTGCTAATGGGCACAGGTTTTATCTCTGGAGTAATGAAAATGCTGCGAAATTAACTGGTGATGATTGTAGAGTACTGCATTGTACTTTAAAAGGGTAAATTGTATGATGTGTGAACTATTATAAGGCTGTTATTAAAAAGAGGTAGTGTCAAGCGGTAGAAATAAAAACTCAGGCCAGGCACAGTGGCTCACACCTATAATCCCAGCACTTTAGGAGACCGAGATGAAAGGATTGCTTGAGTCCACAGGTTCGAGACCAGCCTGGGTAACTTTGTGAGACCTGTCCATCTTCTCTAAATTTTTGGGGAGAAATGTCTGTTCATATCCTTTGCCTAGGCTGGGTGTGGTGGCTCACACCTGTAAATTCAGCACTTTGGAGGCCAAAGTGTTGAGTTGTAAGAATTCTTTTTGTTTTTTTGAGTTGGAGTTTCATTCTGTGTCCAGGCTGGAGTGCAGTGGCATACTTAGGGCCACTGCAGCCTCCACCTGCTGGGCTCAGGTGACCTTTCCACCTCAACCTTCCAAGTAGGTGGAATAACAGGCATGCGCCACTACACCCAGCTAATTTTTTGATTTATTGTAGAGATGAGGTCTCGCCAAGTTGCCCAGGCGGGTCTTGAACCCGTGGGCTCAGGCAGTCCTCTCACCTTGGCCTCCCACAGTGCTGAGATTACAGGCTTGAGCCACCGCACCTGGCCAATTTTTAAAATTTTGTGTAGAGGTGGGGTCTTGCCCAGACTGGTCTCAAATTCCGGTACTCAAAGGATCCTCCAGCCTAGGCCTCCCAAAGTGTTGGGGTTACAGGTGTGAGCCACTGTGCCCAGCCTCCTCAACTCATAGTTCTTACACCTGTTTTTTCTTTTACTGCCATTGTCACATTATCTCTCACCTGACCCATTGCAATGATGCCTTCATTCATTCTTTTTTTTTTTTTTTTTGAGTTGGAGTCTCACTCTGTCGCCCAGACTGGAGTGCAGTGGCCTCTCCCGGCCACCGCAGCCTCAACCTGCTGGGCTCCGGCGATCCTTCCGCCTCAGCCTTCCAAGTAGTTGGAACTACAGGTGCGCGCTACTGTGCCTGGCTAATTTTTTTAAATTTATTGTAGAGATGAGGTCTCGCCAAGTTGCCCAGGCGGGTCTCGAACCCACGGGCTCAGGCAATCCACTCACCTCGGCCTCCCAAAGTGCTGGGATTACAGGCTGAGCCACCGACCCCGGCCTTATTCATTCTTTTGACAAACATTTGTTGGGCTCCTATGTGCCAGGCACCGTGGATACAGAGGCAAATAAGACATGGCAACTAACTCAGGGAATCAATAGATTAGTCCTCACTGGTCTTTCTCCCTCCAGGCTTTCGGTCTTGCAATCTATGTTTTGGCCAGGTGTAGTGGCTCACACCTGTAATCCCAGTGCTTTGGGAGGTGGAGGCAAGAGAGGATTGCCTGAGCTCAGAGGTTCAAGACCAGCCTGAGGCCATTGCCTTGCTAGACTTTGGTGTGACCATGTGCTCTTTGAGCTACAGCTTTTGCCATACTTCCTGGCTTTGGCCTCCTCCCCCACTTTGGGAGGTGAATCTTCTCTCTCTCTTCTCTTTCTCGCTCTAATTTATTTTTAAATAAACTATATATATATATATATATATATATATATATATATATATAGTATACATATATATATATATTTTTTGAGTTGGAGTCTCACTCTGTCGCCCAGACTGGAGTGCAATGGCCGCTCCCGGCCACCGCAGCCTCGC